GCGCCCTAAACCACCCCCCCCCCCCCCTCCTCCCGCCCCACCGCCACCCACCGCCATCCACGACGACGAGTCAACATCGCGCTCGTATACTTCTTTCGCAGGACTACTACTCGCTTTGAAAAAGAATGAACTCACTCTACATTCCCGGTGAACGCATTACCAGCGATACTTCGGCTTTTATCGTTTTTGGGCCTTGTCGCCGCTTACGTGCTTCATTAAATCCGTGACGCTTTACGGATCAGCGAGGATAGAGGCAAGAGGATTCGACGCGGTTCTCACGCTTCATCGGATTCTTTCTTCCTTCCTAAAAGCAACTGTGAAGTTCTTACATTCGATATTGTTCTTATTATCGCTATATTTTTAATGATTATTTCATACTTTAAGCTTCATAGCGTTTGTAAAAGAATAAACGAACAATATACTTCTGCAATTTATTATCACCAATATGCTTATTTGACCTATGATTCAGCAAGTGTTCATCCGTATGAATAAGAATAATGCAAAAAAAAGTGTATGAAAAAAGTGTAAGTTTATTGTAAATGTATAGCTCTATTTTTGTATTAGCAATTAATTTTAATGAAATTTTATTATTCCTTTCGGTATAACAAAAAGGACTGTACGTGACTAGTAGTCCAATTATTTATAATAATCAACGCATCGATTATATTATTTTTATTATCTATTGTAAAAGCTACACCTTGAATTTTCAATACATTTTTAAAGAATTCAACGACTACTGTTAGCCTTTCACATAGAAAACTTTGAATGTTTTGAATGAGAAAATGTACAATGAAATTCTGCCGGTTAATAATAGCAGTACGTAAGTAAAACATTGAATTGCTTAAAAGCTTTGGATTCAAGTCTACTAAACATTTATATTCCACTCGATAATTTATCAAACAATTAATCTTCTATTATTATTTATGAAATTGATCATGTTTTTTTTTTTTTTTTTTTTTTTTTTTTTTTATTTTACTTTATGTTAAGATTACATGGAAATTCTTATTATTTGATATTTGACAGTTATACAGTAAAAAAATAATTATAGGATATAAATTATATTACAGTAAAAAAATAACAATAATAATTATAGTAAAATTTTGAATAAATTCAAAGTTGCGAAACAAAAATTATTTTAATTATATCCGATTTTGTTAAAAATTTCATTACAACTCTCAATTTTAAGAGCATTTTAATATTACATAACATATAAATACCAGATAATTGTAAATACGAATTACGATCGCAACTCGAAAAATATCAATAAAAACAGCAATAGATAACTTTAGAATAAGCCAATATTTAATATCTATTGAAATTTAGAAAAGTGATAATATAGTTTTAGTAGATTTATAAATATTTTATATTTAACTGCCTAGTTGAATATTTTAAATTTATATTATCGGTACCTTTCATATTTCATGCAGTAAATTGACATATAAGTGCATTTATGCATAAGTACATATTCAATAGAATGTATTTCATGTAATCGCGTAAAAGACAAATTTCATTTTCGTGAAGTAGATGAAAATGAAATTAAAATTTTGATCATTCTTTGTTCTTTTTTTTTTTTTTTTTTTTTTTTTTTTTTTTTTTTTTTAGGTAGAGAGAACATTGAACGTTGAAAATATATTAGCTATTTTAAGTAGATCATTTGACGTACTGCTTTTCTACTCAACTTTTACTTTAAGCATTACGGACGTATTTCCGAAATGATGTCGCACATAAAATGTCGTTACACTTCTCCACTATTGGATTCATCTTCAAATATAGTAAATGTAATCATTAAATATTTAATTAGTAAGTAAAAGTCGATATTTTTTAAGTATGTCGAATTTTTAATTTAACCATTATTTCTTACGATATATATAAAAATATTTTTATGACTCGTATTGAATGAATATACCATTTGTTGAAATACAATTCTGAAAAAATTTATATATATATATATATATATATATATATATACATATTAAAGGCACAGATCTTTATTTTGATTTAATACAGTTTTTACATAAGTATATAACCCTAATATAATTTTGCTGACTAAAACTATATATACATATATATATTAAAGGCACAGATCTTTATTTTGATTTAATACAGTTTTTACATAAAGTATATGACCCTAATATAATACAGCACTATTTGTAATAATATTTATAATATTCTTAAAATATGTTTCATTTTAGTTACTTTAAATTTAAAAATCTTTTCTTGAGCATAAAAGCATATTAATACATAGATACGTACGTTTATGCTACATATTAAATTTATGTATGCAATGTACTCTATGTAATTTAGTCTTTTCAATTAATTTTATTATATTTGAAAAGTTTTCATCAAACAATTTAGAAATAATGACAATCTTGGGTATCAATCAATCAACCAATCCCCAAATATATGAGCTATATATATTATAATAATGTATACTATTATAATTTTTGTGAGCGCCCTGAAAATTGTATTCCATCTTTTGCAAGTAGATTTATGAATTTCCTAAATAAATATTCTATGAAAATGCATTGTACAATTTTAAGTTACGCTATATTTAAAAAATATTAAACTCCTGCAGTACGTAGTAATTATCAGTTTCAAATCTCGAATATAATAACCGTTACAGATGCTAATCTGTAATATAAAGTAGGTGTGACCATGGGCACGTCAGATGAATCAACCATGACAGAAACTAATCGAAGCATCAGTAGTGATTTAATCCGATTCCAGAATTTTTTAAATATTTAGAACCTGCGTTTATATTTATATTTAAGCATCTACATAAAACGTATTTATCTATAAATAAATTTATATAAATGACAATAATATGAAATTATGTAACTCCATCATTAAATATTGTCATAAAACCATTATAATTTAAAATAATAAAATTAATCAATTCTTAGAAAACCAAAAAAGTAATATGGAACACTCATTTAAATATATATCGCTTATAATTATTTAATTAAATTACGATTTTATTTAAATAATCAAGTATTCTCATTTGTCTTCTTATTTTTATACTTTATGCACAGATTCATATAAACTTCGACTTATTTACATTCTATACTCTCGAGCAAACTGTTTAATCAACATATATCAAGAAATTTCAAATCTCGTCAAATCAATTGCACATTAAATTAAAACTATTCATTTAAATTAAATTAATAAATTTCTATGCAATAAATACTTTTATAAAAAGAAAATATTTTTTGTTTATATATATATATATATATATTTAAATTATTTAAAATTTTATAAAATTAATTAAAAAATTGATATTTAATTTTATTAGATATTATTAATACTAATTTATGTGATATATATTTTTCTTCAGTTCTAATTTCTTTTTTCTTTTTCTTGATCGTAACAGTTGTAAATACATCAGAACTGAGTTCAGTAAACTAAACTTACTATTTTATTGATTATCCCTTTAATTAGCGGACAATTACTCCATTACAGTTCATACAAAATTATCGAAGGTTTTCATCCTATATTCATAAATCTTTTATTCATATGTCAATGTAAATTTTATCATATCATGAAATATTATATATAATAATACTAGACAGTTTTTAAGTAGATTTTTTAATAATAAAACAATTCAAACTTTCTATGAATATAATACTATTAAATTCATATTGAAATGGCTACAATTTATTGTTGAGGCAGATTATTAATAAAAAAACATTTCTCTCTGCTTTGTAATCACATACATGTTTTTGAAACAAATTTTTTTTACATTTCTAAAGTAATTTTTCAGAATAATGACACGAATTAAAACAAACGATGTATCAGAAAAAGTGATATTTAAAGAAAATATTTTATATAAATTTGATAACTCGTAAATACTTAGAGCATCATAATTAAAAATTTATTTTTAACAGAATGTCGTTTTTCGATAAAAATTTATACATACGAGTTTAGTTGCATTACAGTATATTCAAATTGGTCGCTCTTAAATGTAATATTTATTTGTGAACTAAATTTAATAATTATATATTATAGATTACATATAATTTTAATACTTTAATTAAAATAATATTTATTAATTTTTGGGAATATATAGTGAAATTTAATAGTGGAAAATTTAAATATTATTAACAATAAATTTGATGTTATGCTTGATTCATTAATTTATAATGAAAATTCCTTGCGATCATCAATTCTGTATTAATTATTTAGCAGTTTATTATTATTTAATTAGACACTATATCTCCTTTCAATATTTTCTAATTATATTTAAATATATAATATTTTCTATTAATAGTAATATTTTCCTCACGACGTTCATACATTTAAGAACTATTCATTGCTAGAAGTATTCAATATTTAATTAATCTATATAATTTATGTTTAATTTATACAATTATCAGTTCATAAAATAACAGTGAGCATTATAGAATTTATTATTATGTAGAAAAGTATTTAATTACCGATAGAATATTAATTGAAACACATTAAAGTTTTTAAACTTACGAATGTAATTAAAGAAGTCATTGATTCATGTTCATTATTGTACAATTTGGTTTACAAAATTTAAATTTAAATATCAATACATCACTATTTACAAATTTCATTTAATTGATTTATATGTATAATAAAATAATATATAACTAAGAAGCTTATGAAATTCAGTTAATTTTCGTCCGAAGAATTATTTAAATAAATTAAAAATTATTTTGTATTCTAATTTGTTTAAAAGCGCATAATATTTTCATGTACACAATATAAATTCAATATAAATTTTACAAAATACTTTAATGTATTAAATAATTAAATTCTTCATGAACTATGATTTTTCAATTTAAAATAATTGCATTTTTCTACTTTCTAAATATTTATACATCGCACAAAGTAATACGATTGAAAATACCGATCTGAAAATTTCAGTCACGCATAGCCCCGTTTTTGGTTTCTTAACACTTCCACACGTTTTTTTTTTTTTTTTTTTGTACGTATAAATTAAGTGCAACGCGTCTAGAATAATAATAAACAAAATCTATTGTGCAAACAAAAGTAATTAATATCGTGTATAATACTGACATAGTGCAGGCTCTGGAATATTTTTGTGTCCATATTCATAATATTCGAGTTAATCGTACGTAACTATTTATTGGCCTTGAATAAATATTGAATTTAAATTTAAATTTATTTCTGTCCTATGATATATATATATATATATATATATATATACACTATTTATTAATTTGCTAATAAATAGATACAAATAATATATGAATTATTTAATTATAAAACTATTATTTATTTTAACATTTAATAAACAAAAATCTAAAAGAAATTACTCAAATGAAGTGAAAATTGATTATAAATTGACATATAAAATATAAATTGTAAAAATATTTAAAATATGTCTTCTTTTAATTCTATGTAGTTATAAAATTTAATGTAATTCGGTAAATTATTAAATTAAATTAATTGGTAGTTGTGCGTATTCACAACTAAATTGATTTAGTATTTACTTATAGTTTAAATCTCTATAAATAAAGAATTTCAGCAATATAATAAAAATTAAACAAACTTTCAAAATATGTAAATGATAAAATACATGTATTTCCAATTTATATATTATACAAATATTTGATACATTAAAAGGAATTATTCTAGTTAAATTTATTAATGAGTAGAAAATGGTATACTATAATTTTTTTATATTAGTATATTCTTAATTGATACTTTATTTTACTATGTTAACATTTTTCTGAGATATTTAGAATTGAGTGATTAATATCTAAATATACCTTGGAAATTGTATTTCAAGAATAATTGCCATTTATAAATATGCAATAAATATTAGTTTTTATAGAGAACAAATATGAAAATATTATTTTACTTATAACTTTTAATAAATTAAAGAGTAAATTTAAATATAAAACTTATTTATTTCATTATACATAAATATTAAATTGTTATTGAATTACGTGGCACTCTCGGAGGATTGAATTAAAAAAAAAATATTCTAATAAATATTTTGGTTTGGTGGAAAATTTAAAATAGTTTCGATACTATACGTTCTTTTTGTGTTTGAGCGATTTCATTTATTAAATAATTTGAAATTAAATTAAGATTGAGAAATATTGATTTCTATTTGTATGAAAAACACTTAATGTTCGTATATGAACTTTAAAATTTCAATGTAAATAAAAAACCTTGAAGGTAAGTAAATTTTTGCAATTATTGGATAGTAGTTGTTGAGAAATCGTGTCCATCTACATTGAAAATATAATTTCGAAAAAATTTTGTAAATTCGGAAAAACAATGTATATATTTCAATGAACATTGTTCATTAATATTTTAAAAAATATAAAAAAAATTAAAAGAACAATTATTTTTTAAAACCAAGTTTTTCAAAGTTTTACATATGTATTATTTTATTATCAATAATAAATATGCTATAATTGTTATTTATATGTACTACTTCTGTTGAATAAGTAATTTCGTAATATTGTATTTTTATTTTTAGGGATATGTAATTTTATCAAAAAATGAGAAAAAAAGAGATCTCACTTACATTTAAATTTGATAGAATATAACAATTGTAGATTTATTATCATAAAATACCTACGTGTAAGTATAAACGCATATATACATGACTGACAATATTTATACATTACATTAGCCTGATTTTCTAAAATTTATTTTTAGTTTATTAAAAATATATATTCATTAATAATTCATCTTCACATTAAACAATTTTATATAGCAAAACTTATAACAATAACACCAACTTTATTAATATACATTTCTATTGTTAAAATAAAAATAATGCGCATCTATTAGTTTATCTACAATAAAATATAATTTTATAAAATATTTATAGCTTACAACTTAATCATTTACAATTATTCTCATATTAGATATTAGGATGCAGCTTTTTTTAATTGTGAATTACTTCGTATATGGGATTCAAAATGAAAAGTAAGTGTAATAAACGTAATATTATCATTATTTTTAAAGCATTGTTTTCTATATTTAAATACTAAGTATTTTCTTATTTATACATATATGAATAATGAAAACTTATTTAATGAAAAGTCATATATAATTTAGAATTGTAATTGATATAGAACAAACAATTTAATAATTTATTTATTCATATATAATCAATCTCATAATGGAAAAAGTGTATAATTTCAAAAATAATTAGCCCGCAATCTCATGCAGGTGCTTTGAGTAGGAAATGAATATATATTTATTTATCGAACCCCTTCTATATCTCATCTGAATAATATAATTTATTTTCGATGTATGAAGAATAAAACTGTAGTTGGGGGGAGGGGGGGGAGTTGATTATGTAATTTTAATTATGTCGTTGATCTGGTCAAAGGTTCGATTTAGCAACTAGTTATAAATAAATATATAAATTGGTAGATATATATTTATATAAATGTTGAACTTTGAACTTATTAGAATTGAAATCGGAGGATTGATGAACAAATATATATCCATTTTGCATTAACTTTCAATCTAATATTTCCACTTTGAAAACAAATTCGGTTAATATTGCACTTTGACCGGATTAGTTGAATCAGTGAATACAAGTATTTTATATAGTTGTTTAAATAATTGTTTTTATGAAATTTAGAGAATAAAAATATATGTTATATACAATAAACAGGTTTAGAATCATTGTGGATTAATAGTGGGTGATTAAGTTACACAAAGTCCCGAGTTTTATACATGTACGAATGATATTGCAAAAACAAAAAAGCGACATTGTTTATCATTATGCTCTGCATGTTTATTTTTTCTTTAAAAGAAATATTTTACACATTTTGGTTTTTATGTTTCATTTAATTTGATGGAGCAGACAGAGTATAAACATTCTTTTGGTCCTCAGTTCCGTATTCTCATCATATGCTTTTCTTTCTTATTATAAACATTGGCTAAAAATTTGGAAATATTTCGGTAGTACATACTTAATTTTTTTGTAACTTTGCATTTTTTGCACATACTTTTGGATACACGATTTTACAATGTAAGTGTAATCTTTAATTACATTTTACAATCTAATATTGTTTTATAATTTTGAATTAAATTAGTTTTCTGAAATGTATTACAAGGGGTCAATATATTTTGAAATCATTGTATAATTCATACTAGATGGATTTACTGTATAATTTTTTATTATATTTTAAACGTATCAAATTCAAGTTTTTAAACTAATCATGTCACTTACAGAATATATTTACAAACACTATTTATAAATTTTATGTTTTACATTGTTAAAGAATAAGAATGGAATAATAAGAAGGTAATGATGTACATAAAAAGAAAAGGATATTTATAATATATAATGTGGCTTAATTAAATATTATAAATTATTTTATTTCTCATTACAGTATTTATCGTATAGTTTCAAACATCCGGTTTAATGGAATTTTCATTTATATATATTAGTCACTTTGTCTAATAAGTGCAAAAATATGCAAATCCTAATAAATTCATCAATACCATAGAATTATCTTATTACACATATTTTCGAGCACAGTATTCTTTATATATTTTTAATTAAAAATAAGTTTATTTTATATATATATATATATTTATATATATTTATATTATATATTTATATATTTATATATATATTTATATTTATATATATATATTTTATATATATATATATATATATATAAAAATAAGTTTATTTTAATATACGAACTTGTAGTGTTGAAAATAATATTGAAATGCAGTTAGACGAATTAATAATTTAATTTAAAATATTTATTTAAATATCATTTTCAAATTTTATATTTAATACATATTGAAAAATTACTTTCAGCATGATGAATAATAGTTCTCAATACAATAATATTTCAATATTTTTAAATTCATTTTATTTAAGCAAATTTTATACAAATAACTGGTAGCTTAATATTTTATTAATAAAAAATATTTATAAGATTATGATGCAGTATCTAACTCGTTTCTATTCACTTCTTATTTTAATCAAATATGGCGCACTCACAACAACCAATCAACAAAAGGCCGTTTATTGCCAGAATGAGGAATTTAACAGGAAGTAGCCACACAGAACTGTTCAGGCTCCTTTTTTAGTGCGTACTTAGCAATGACTTCGTTGACCCACGCCTAGGTGCTGCTACTCTTAGATATACCATACACTGGTTATATCTTTCATTTCCTTTTCGGAGTTTCTGGCGGCATCATAGGTTGTGAAGAGGTTAGTTATATTTTAAATTTATTAATATTAAAAAAATTATACTTAAAAATAATTTAAGATATATTATTGAAATACACTGTATTTATAGAGTCATGAAGTGTAATTGAAATTTACACGTACATTTAATTAAAAATGGAAAATGAAAGTAACGAAAAAGAAATGTGCATTGGGCACGTGGCGAAGCCATATTTAAGCGTAGAAGAAATAAATAAAATGAAGATTCAAAATTCGCGTTTAATCTCAGGCTTTCAAGCCTTGCAACTAGAAAAAAATGCTAAAAAGTATTGGGATTTATTTTACAAAAGGAATGAGGATAGATTTTTTAAAGATAGGCATTGGACGACTCGTGAATTTAAGGAACTTTTAGGTTTAGGCAATCCAAGTAAGGCTCAACGACTATTGGAAGTTGGTTGTGGAGTAGGGAATTTAATTTATCCATTGCTTGAAGATAATATTAATTTTGAAATAATTTATGCATGTGATTTATCACCAAGAGCAATTGAATTTGTAAAAGTAAGTGTAAACCTTTCATTCAACCATAAATATCATTGAATACTTATAAAGATTTTAATCAATTGTATTTGTAATTAGAATAATAAATTGTTCAACCCAAAAATAGTAGCTTTCCAAACTGATATAACAACTACGAATTGTTTTGAAGTAATTAGTAATAAAGTTCATATTGCTGTACTGATTTTTGTATTATCTTCGATTCATCCTGATAAATTTAAAAGGTACGTTTTTAACTTAAAATTAACAATTTGTGGTAAAAAAAAAAACTTATAAAAGTTTATTTAGTGTTCTAAACAATTTGTACCCGGTCCTCGACAATAATGGAGTAGTACTATTTCGAGATTATGGGCAATATGATATGACGCAATTAAGATTTAAGCCTGGACACAAAATTTCAGAAAATTTTTATATGCGTCAAGATGGAACAAGGTTAGATATATATGAGTATATTCACATATAAATTTCATAATGTTTGTTAACCGGTTAAGATATTTAATTTTATAATTGATATTGCTCGCTATTTCCAATGCAAATTTAATGAAAAAAAATTATTTTGAAAATTTTACTTCAAATTCAAGTATATATAGTATTAAGTTAACATATATTATTTAAAAATTGAAAAGTATAATAATTTTTGTTCAATCTAGCAAAATTATACTATATTATATAATATAATAATAATATATCATATAATATATATTGTTAATTAAAATGTAAAAGTTTTATAAATAATTTGTTTTTAATTTGACGTATTTTATTATATAATTATTAGTGGGTACAAACAAAATTTTAATAAACTCTAATTTTTAATAAACATTAATTATATTTTTGTTGATCCTTAATCAATGTTTAATTTACTTATTTATTACTAATAATGATATTACATATAATTTTCATACAAGGTAGCTGTAATAAAAATTAGGCATAAAAATTGTCTATAAATCTTTTAGAGAAAATCGTGATGATTTCATAGTTCAACTGTAATGAATTGATGACATTTGATTTGTCTTTCGCTCCTATCTGAATATAAAAATAATAAAATTTTAATTAAATAACAAGAAATTTTTATTTTTATTTTAATTTCATTCATTTATTTTTAGAAGTTACTTTTTTACTATTGAGGAAGTGCAAAATTTATTTGAATCAACCGGTTTTAAAACTATTACATGTTCCTATATTGAGCGAAGAACAATTAATTTGAAAGAAAATATTGATGTGCCTAGAATTTTTGTGCAGGCAAAATTTATGAAGGTTTAGAAACAGAATATGGTAAGCATTATCGAATAAATAATAACTTTTGTCTAAATTTTATAACATAATTTATATAAAATAATAAGTTTGCAGTTCAATTGAAAATTTTCCTTTACTTATTGCTTTGCTTCTATCTAATATATAAAATTGTATAAAAATTATTCTTGTTAATTCTTTTACTTAATTTTTAAACTTATTGGTCTACCGATAAAAAATTTTAATTAGATTATTAGTTTCTTAGATAATTGTCAAGATCAACAACAAATAATAAATTTAAAAACATACATAACTATTTCTATCGCACTCAGTACAATTCTTAAGTATATTTTTTATACAAAATTAATATAGACTGTAAATTATTATTTTTCCTTAATCTAGGAAATAATCTATTATGTAGTTTGAAATTCAATTAAAATTTATTAAAAATATTTTTTATTCAAGCATTAATTTATTTCTAGGTAATAGAAAATTTTATTCTTTATATATTTATTTCTAGGGTATACTGTTTTTCGCAAAAGAAATAAGACGTTTGAAACTTCCAAACTCTGGATTCTGTCATTAAATAACTAATGATCATTAAAAACATACATAAAATTTTTAGTTTTGCACTCTAGAAATTTATTCGACTTTTGAGAAAACATTTATTTCGTAAGTTTGATAACAATGTAATATATTATAGACTATTCTTATATCAACGCTTAATAACATAAATAAAATGATGACTTCATAGTTCAACTGAAATTATTTGATGACATTTTTTTTGTCTTTCGCTCCTATCTGAAATATTTCGTATATTATAAAATTATATAAAATTACAACTAAATTAAGTTTAATCAGTGTTATTTAATTTTTTTCTAGAATTTCTTGGATTAAGAAGACAAAATTGAGAAAACAAAATTTATTTAAGACATTTTCATATGTTATATTCCATAATGAATGTATAAACTGAAAGCATTCGTGGGATTTTGACTTAGTAATCAAAATGAAGCTTGTTCAAGAAGTTTGTGAAAGCACTTGCATGATGCAGTAAGTTTTTAAAAATACTTATCTAAATGTCTTTTGATGCGTATTTTATTCTTAATTTTATTTTAATTAAGAATTCATGAAATGTAATTATTCCTTGTTGCTTTTAATATATATGAAAATATTTATATATAAAATAAAACAAGTTTTTTTAAAATAAATTTATAGTGCATATATTATGACAGATTTTTATTCTCAATAAGACAAGTTTATTACATTATATATTTAACAAATTTTATAGAAATGTAGTGTTTGAGTGTACTATTAGCAATGGATTTTATGCAATAATTAAAATTTAATTAATCGATATATGCATATTTATATATTGATTATATGTATTATAAATTATTGAATAAATAATTAATGTTAACTGAAAATTCAATAGTTATTCAGATATTTTCAATACGTTGCATGAAAATCGAATGAAATCAAATTAAGAATATTTCAAATTTGTTTATTAACACTATGATGAGATTTGTGTTTGAATAAATTTATGATATTACTAAATTTCGTCACTACCACTGATATATAACTATCCATACAATATTACACATAAACTTATAATTTTATGTATAGTAATAATCCATTTTTATTTTCTAGTTTGGGATGAAATAATTTTCATAAGTTGTTAATCCATTGTGAATATCCATTTTGTAAGTATAAATAATGTATTCAAGTTTAGTCTAAAATGTTATTACTTTATGATGATTTAATAAAAATCATATAAATCTTTAATGAATGACTTTTAATATTAGCTCTATCTGAAATTTTACTAAAATCATAGTATTTTATATTTTATATTACAACTTTGTACAACTCATTGTACTTATTTTATTTTCAGATACGCAAATTTGCATAAGATGCCTGATGCCTATTATTTATAGTATCGTTATCACTTGTGATATATAAAAAAAGTGTATACACTAATATTGAAATATATTTATAATGATAAAATATCGTACTGATTTATCTACCTTTCAAATCATTTCTATGGAATCCTTTTAATTTTATAAAATTTTCATATTCTTTCAATAATTACTTATTAAAATCGATTTTTTTTTCTAAAATTGATTAATTTAATGAGTTTCTAATGCAGAAAAATTTTAAAATCCAAAGAACGTTTATTTATTATTTTCATTTATTACAATTTCTTAAGCAGTCTTCAGGAGGCCACTTTGCAACTCGAATGCCAATCTAAAGTTCGATTTTAAGTAGGTCATTGATTTATTTTTTTTAGTTTCGATTTTGTTAAAGTAATTATAAATAATAATAATATTTTTAGTTTCATTTATAAATAAAGTATTTTTCAATAACGATATATATTCAGAATATGTTAGATATCTCTAATCTTATTCTAATATAAATTATTTGTGAGAAAATATTTCGAATAATAAACAAACAGATTTAGATATTGTTATTAACATAGTTCAATAATTGTATTTAAAATTAATTTTGCTTATAATTTAATTAACAATATAAATTAAAGCACAATAATAATATTGAAGTCTAAGAATTTTTATTTGCTAATGATATATTCAATACGTTAATATAGTTTTTTATTTAGTTGATACATGATAGATATTTATATTTGAACCATAAATAAAAAAGAGTATGTTTATATGGAATCCAATAAAATAATATCCAAACCAATAAGTTGATACAAATTTTTATTTTTAAATTTATTTGAAGGGTTAAAAGTAAAGTGTAACATAAATTTATAGATGGTTATTGTGGATTTATAATATATATATATATATATATATATATTCTGTTTTATATAAATCCAAATTAAAAAGTTGGATAAAAGCTTATCCAATATTCCAGATTATCAGATTTTAAACTTATATTTAACAAAATATAAAATACTAAATAATTAGTTTTTTGTTCTTATTCTTTTATTTTATGAACTAAACTTGTAATATAAAATATCTCGTCGTTATTTATAAGCAGTTATTATTATATTAGTACATTAAATCTTTTACGATTAATAATGAGTTTGAAAACAATCAAGTAAAAAATTCAGTCTGAAAATTGAAATTATAGCCCTTTTGATTGATTATGTCTAATATTACATGAAAAAATTTATTTTATCTAATTGCCGACGGATCATACTGATAAAAATGGTTTTTTGCTTGAGATAAAATTTTTAAAGGCAATTAATATTAGACCTTAAAAACTTACGATCACAATAAAATTATGTGAAAAAATGTAAATTCATCTTCGAATTGAATGAATTTTTTAATTAACATCCAATATTAGTTAATAACTAATCAAGTTCAAATATGACCTTTCGGCTATAATATTTTAAAAGTTATAAAATAATGCACAGTTACAAGAATTATTTGTTAAAATTAAGTACATCTAAAAATTGATTTTACTTTTGAGGCTTTTGACATTGTTTTACATTTTAAAATCATCTTTATAAAGAACTTTATAGACTATTTTCATGGTGATGGCAATGATATTGAAGTTTAGTATTCAAAATCTGTTCTTGACCACCTGGGTGTTAAGCATTAGTAGAGCGACTGTAAATAAGGTCAACTTCTCGAGGTCGTCTATCGATTAACTACATACATAAGCAATAACTCAACGTACATGCATAAATTATTATATATACAAATTATTTCAAATAAAATTAATTTACATATTTAATATTCAAATTATCAAACCAACATTCCATTACGTTTTAATCCATTACAATATTTTTTGTACTTTAAACAACGAACAAAATACATTGTAGTTAGTATAATTAAACGTATACATATGCATAAATAACTATTTTATGAATTAATATATTCTTTTATTATTTTTTTTTTTTATTAATGCATATACTTGAATATCAATATTGTAATTTACTTCCAATAAATTTTTTTTCCAGAGAACAACGTAATTATAAATTTATTACTAACTTTATTTATATATATATATATATATATATATATATATATAATGAAAATTCATTATTTCTTTACTTTTAATACTAAATGTTTTTTAAATAAATATATTTTTTACGAATTAATAATATACCAGACGTTAGTTTATTATAAATGTCAAAAATATAAAAATGATTTATTATTAAATATAGGATTATAATTCATGTAAAAGTAAAAATAATAAAAAAAGTTTTAACCCATTGTTTAACTTACCTGAAAGTTTAATAATTCAATCACAATTATTAATATTTTTGTTTATATTTGCAATAAACCATTTTAAAATAAAATAAAATATATGGTGATATGCAATATGGATTAATAATCAATTTACTCTGTCATTCATAATATGGAATTTCATAAAAAGACGTAAAAATACTGGTTTTTAACACCTATTTACATATTAAATATACTAAATCTCTATATTAAATCTAATTAAAATTAATTAGTAAAAAAATACAATGATATAAACACATTATTTTAGTAAATGAAATTTATTATTGGCGAATCATCAAATATATATATATATATATATATATATATATATAATATATAATATATAATTTAATATATTAATTGATATATTACAGATTTAATATTTTTATATTATATGTTACACAAAAAATAATAATAATAATACAATACCTCAGTTTAAAATGTATTTCTGTAAGCAAAAGAAAAATCATTTACCGCTTTGTATTAACAAAAAATTAATCCATATGCATGTGTAATCCTATTCTTTGTTACTTCATTAGGATCTTAATGTTTGTATCTTTCAGCTTCTTCTTACAAAGTCATTCTCTAATGTATATTCTCGAGGTGAAATATACGTTGTAATTGATAAATTTTTTTGACGACTGGTATTATATGCGATGTATATTGAATGAATTCTATCGTATGTTAAACATGATATACGTTACATGGATTTACGATAAATTAAAATTTTGTAATTAGTATTTTTAATAGCATGATTTTTGATATATAATATTTTTTATGCGATGTTTCGTAAACATTTTCATAAAAAAATTTCAAATAATTATACTTATTATTTATTTATAACCTTGACTCCATTTTACAATAGACAAGGATACCTACAAATTCAAATCTTTTATTTTAGTTATAAATTGTAGTATAAGCTATTCGTTAAAGAATTTCACGAAAAATGTATACTATTGAAATTACTTCAGTCAAATAGCTACGTAATACGTAAATTTAATATATCTGAAGATTGTGTATTAATTCTAAGTTTTTATGAATATTTTATATAAATTTATAAATAATTTATATAAATATTTTATTTCGTTCACTTTAATTAAATTTTTGTTTTTCTAAATTTTTTTCATTTTTTTCCATTTCCTTGAAAATAGAATTTGATCTAAAATGACATTTTAATATATTATTAATATGGATACTTAGTATTTTAATGTTCATATATTGATTGCATTAGCCATTTGCATATTTTAAATCATTCTTTATAACACAATAAGGGAATACGTTCATCAATAGTAGAATGAAATTGAAGAAATTTTGCTTTTATTCTCGACATATATGCGTTATATAAACATTTGAATTTTATAAGTTAAAAATGCTAACATTTTTCTTAAAATTCATTCAAAAGAAACAAATTTTGGTCTGACCTATTTTATTTTTAAATCAAAGTAAATTTTATACGTATAATTTAATAAAATTGCACACTTATTTAGAAAAATTCTTTATATATTAGAAAGTTTCTGAAAAGTAATATATATATATATATATTATATATAATTATATAATTATATTATTATATGTATATATATATATATATATATACATATATGTATACATTATAATTTAAAGTCTTTATAATTAAAAAAATTTTAAATAATTTAAAATTTTTTAATTTTCATATACAATAAATTAATGAATACAGTGTACTTTAAAAATTTAACACCTATTTAATAAATTCATTTAATTTAACTAATTGTATATTGCTTGTAAGCTGTTACACAGTAGCCCATTTATTAATTGAAATGTATTCGTACAAAGTTTTTACGTTTTTTAAATATAATGTATACTACATTAGTGGTTTTATCCTTTAATTTAGATAATAATTATTTATACATTATTAAGTGTAATTAATTATAATATAAGTGTGTCTATTACCAGTTCATATGCAAACCACCCTTGAAAATAATATTCGTATTTATAACAGAGATAACGTAAATTTGTATGTAGATGACACTTAGAAGTATTTAATATGTAAAAAAAAGTGCATACTTTTTTGTATAAAATTTAAAAATTTTAAAAATTCATCATATTTTCGTTAAATTAAATTATATTCTGGTAAATATTTTACAATTGAAATAATTTACATGTCACATTTCAGTTAAAATACGGAAAAAATTACACATTTTACAATAGATAGACATTTAAATATTACACTACGAGATATCAATCGTTTCTAGTAGGTTTCAATCAATTTCAACGCGTAGCTGCACAGAAGAGAGTTATTCACACACGCGCGCGCGCGCGCACGCACGCACACACACACACACCACACACACACACACACACACACACACACACACATTTTTCTCTTTCGCATACATCATTCATCTACATAATACGACATAATATTTATATGCCGTAATACACATAGCGTGTTGCATTATAACACGAATGGTAGAATGCGCGAGTTCCAGTCATGTAAAACACCTTCATCCATGTTTGGCGGCTCTTCAAGGCTTTTAGCTCCTTGCTCAATTTCTCAAGCATATGCACGCACGTGAGATACAAACGCGCTGCTTGCGATGAACACCTTGGAGAACAATACGCGTGCGCGCGCTTTTACAACCCCACGAGGTGCGTTTGGCCTCGTGCGTTCGCCGATTTTAGGCTTGGCTACATGTGTCGGTGCGCTAATGTATACGTGACTGAGGATGTATGCCCGTAAGCTGGAGGATAGTTTGTTAAGACAGCGAGCCCAAGTAGCATATATAAAGGAGACGTGAAAAGTGAGGAGCATCATTCAGTTGTTAAACACCAACAGTGTTTTGTGATCAACAAAGAATAAACCAACCACTGCCAACATGAAGTACTTCACTGTGAGTAGCTTGCAAGTCTATATTATAATTATATGTATTTTTATAAAAAAATTAAGTAATTATTGCAAAGTTCAGTATATTAATAATTTAAATAATGTAAATACAATAATAATTTAAAATAATTATAACATTAAAAAAGTAAAATTTTCAATTACTGCCATTATAATCACAAATTTCTTAAATTATTTCGTCTAATTGTAATATTGTACTTGTAACAATTACAAAAATGGAAGTTAATATTAACATCTAATGTTAGTGTTGTTAAGATTTTAAGACAAATACTATTGCTAAGCATTTGAGTAACTATATTTCAGGCTATTTCTTTAAGTTACTTCTTAGAAACATTGCAAACACAAAGAACTTTTATATAAAAATTCAATAAATCAGAAATTAATAATTATATTATAAAACTATATATGTGCTTCTAATGCATTTGCTTCTATAATGTTTTCATAAAACACTCAATTTTATTTAAGAATATAATTTTAATTGAATACTTCGAAAGAAATATTATTAAAAATATAACATTTGAAACACTTGACAAATCGAAGAATTAAACTTATCAATGAAAATGTTATTCTAAATAAATTTATCAATAAGACAAATGTACTTTTTATACGAAATATTATTAGTTATAAACTTCAACTGAATTTAAAGATTATAGTGGCACTACAAACAAATTTATATAAAAAATCAACGGTTATTAAATTTAGAATTGTTAATATAGCGAAAATTAAAATTAAATGGTAATGTCAATAATTTTTAAATATTTCATTGAGTGCTTCCATTGAAATAAATAATATTACTGCTATGAAGCAATTAAATAATTATTGTGAATTGTAGTATATTAGGTTTTGGTATATTCCTCATAAATAATAATTTTAAATTAATAATAATTTTTATTTATAATCTATTTCTCATCATCAATCGTAAATAGTAAAATTCTCAATCACCACCACTATAGCCATGACTTTTTATAATTATTTTGTTTAATTATAATATGCTACTTATAACAATTAGAAAAATGAAAGTAAATACTAGTGTCTAATGTCAGGATTATCAAAATTTTGGAACAAATACTATTGTCAAGCCTCATCAATTAAGTCAAAGTAAATGTTTTGTTTTATGTTTATTGCATACTGGAAACGGATTAAATTTATACTTCCATTAATTTGTAAGAATAATAATTCAAAATTTTTAGTTCTCTTGTACTAGACCGTTAGCAAATCAATTAATTCCAGTAAAAACTACACCACTACACACTGGACTTTAATATTCCGCAGAAAAGTAATAAAACGTTAATTAAATGGCTATATTTGTTGAATTACAGGGTCTCTTGGTTCTCGCTTTCGTCGCTGCCGTATCTGCTGGTAAACTCCCAATTGGAGATCCAGCTGAACTCAAGCCAGAGACCGAGCTCAAGTCGAGCGAAGTCGAAGTTGAAGTTGAAGCCGGCGCTGAGCCCAGAAGCAAACGTGGCCTCCTCTACGCATCCCCGTATGCTGCCGCATATGCTTACCCTTACACCGCCAGCTTCAGTTACCCATATGCCTACAACGCACCTTACGTATACCGTTCGGCCTACTATCCAAGTTACTACAGCTCCTACGTGCTGGGCTAAGCCTCAGCACTCAGTTGATGCTGAATTCATAAAGCGGTTGTTGGTTGTGCATAATGGACATATGATGAATATTGGACTGACTCTGTCATGAATTTCACAATACCGAGTTTACTATAACTACCATAATATCAAAACTATGTTGTTTATATGACGTACAAATTGACGCCACTGCCGAAGAATTTCAAGATTACTGATTGCCCGACTACTTATTTTCTTCCGACATTGACACTGATTATATATTGAGCTGTTGTATTTTCATTATGATGTAATACTTATAAGAAATACAATTCTATATATTTTACTCCTATATTGTCTTATTCATTCGCAAGAACAAGAAACCTTCACTCTTATTCCAATGTAGTGAGGAAAACTATATCTGTAATTACAATCGATTTAGTTACATGAATGACATTAGTTTCAAAAAAAAAAAAAAAAAAAAAAAAAAAAAAAAAACTGACAAACAGTTCCACAATAAAGCAACTATATTTATATATACCTTGGACTTTTCAATGATTAAGAAAACGGCAAAATTAACAAAATAAATATTAGCTCTTTGAATATTGTAAATAATATTTCAAAATTGACTTGGTCCACGGGTCTAATATATTTGATAAAAACAAATAATTTTTTTCAGACTCATTCTAACACTATAACAAAGTGGAATATAAATGAATTTGGAAAAAAAAAATCCTAAAACATTTTAAACAATAACAATTGACATGAGATGTTATAGTTACATACAGTCGTAGTTGATTAATAGTAGGCAATGGTATTGCATAATTTTTAATTCAAGCAAAGAATTCAAGCACAGATTAATGAATGTGAAGTGTTATAGATGACGAAAGATTAACCAGCTTCAATAATGAAAGATATAACTTGACATACAAAGAGATGTATAATAATGACGTCAGAAGGTGTTACAAAACGCAACGATACTTTGTTTTATTTGTAATATTTGATAACAGCAATCTTAAAAAGCTTATTGTTATTAAAAATCGTGTGTATCCTCAAAGAAAACGAATTATTTTGAGAAAAGCGTTTGATAATTTCATTAGTAATACAATTTAGTGAAAAATAACTATTCGAGTTTATTGAAATAATTGTAGAACTATTATTACACATTATAGTTAGTTTTCAATTAATTTTTTAAAACCAGAGCCGCATAGGTGACGTGAGATTTGCCTCGAATCAGTTACTTAAAACGTGAATTATCTGCAATCTGGAAATATAAGATTACTTGTAAACAAAATTATTATTAACTAATTGGTAATTGAAGCATCGTAAAAATTTACATATCCAATCAATTAGTAAATTGCAATATTATTGCTTCTGTTAATACATTAAAATATTTACATTATATAAATACAATTTAAATTGTGACCGATTGAAATAGTAATACAATAAAATAAGGGAAATATTAATTTAAAAAGAAAATTCAGAAATACTTATTGATAAATATATTTATCTATATTACGAATTATTCACAATAATTCATAATAAGAAAATACTTTAGGATATTGTAGAAAATGCGTATATAAAATCACTTTTTACCTAATTATTATAGTACTGTCTGCACAAGTTATGTTGGAAATGTAAACAGAATATGTAAACGTGGAATATGTTCTATTTTTAAATTAATTTATAGAATAAATTATACATAAATAAGTTACAATAATTATAAAAATATATTGTATTTTCTAATTAAATTGCGCAATAAATACTTTAAAATGTAATTGTAATAATTATAAAAAACAAATTTCATCGATGATTTTTTAGTCCCATTTATGTTTGTATAAAATTATGAAAGAAGGAAAGAATTCTATAAAATCTATAAATTCTATAAAAAATATTTTAATAAATTAATATAATTGTTAATGACTAATCAGTTAGGAGCTCTTTTTATATAGACGTTTATATCTCTTATGTTCTGTTAATATTTAACAAATTTCATATTTCACCCAATAGTAATCTTTGCTTAATAAAATGTAAAATACATATTTTTATAGTTTCCACAATGATTAAATTATATGATATTATTTATGATTACATTTTTTTTAATTATAGGTATTTGGTTGTCGATTTATGTTATAATAAATATAGCTTTAAAATATTCAGCTTTTGTATATTGTACAACGAATATAAATTTATTTAATGTAAATTGTGTTTAATTGATCAAAATACGTGTGAAATTCTCTAAATAGATAAATAAAACAGTACATCCCACTGAAGGGTAATTTTTATAATTCTTATATTATTTTTCATTTAAAAACTTAATTAAAATCATGCTAAATGATTTATTTTAATTATCCGTAATAAAATATAAGGAATAAAAAGGACGCATATATAATTCAACATTGCACTATACTCGACTAATATTTTAATTGTTGGAAGTTAAATTTAAATGTTTCAATCCTTTCTTACGGCTCATATTCAACTTTTCAACTTTTTTCTTAATAAAGGCACAGAAGTAAAGTTTCTAGTTACATTGTTAATGCAGATAATCGTTCATAAATAATTTCAACAGGATTTTACTTGCAGTGATATTATATTTATTGTCGTTATTATGATATTATTTATTAAACGTTTTTGATATCATTGTTAATTGAATTTCTAATTCAAATATAGAATTAAGTCAAATATGAGCCTTCATTAAACATCGATAATACCTTTACTGTTGCGCTTTTCCTAATCATAACAAATGTATGGCTTCGTTTGGCATTTATTTTAACATTTCATCATAATTCATCAACTTTATGAGGATCATCTAATAATCGCCATGCTTATTATAATTTCAGAATGTAGCTTCTGAGGCCTTCAATTTAGTGTACTTTATATAATTTGGTACGGCTCTTGAATTTTATGAGATCTGGGCCTCAGTCCACTCTCATTTATTTGACTGTATAGAGAAAGATAGAATTGAACATAATTTTTTTTTTTAATATCCAAGACAATCAATATACTTTAGTAAAAATTGATATTATATAAAATGGAGAGTTCCAGAATTTATTCTATATATCGATCATGCTATGCCTTACTTACTCAATTAGTATAGCACCTGTAATTTTGTTCTATCGCCAAAGCCGACAGTCTATTTCAGTTCATTGTAACCATACTTTCTCTTTAACCATGCACGTACTCGAAATTGTCCACAATATTTTTATAATGAGCAGGGGGCTGAAAAACTAATTTAATACCTTATTAAAGTTAATAACTTGTAGAAATTTTTACATGACGTACACTTGGTATATATCGAAGAATGTATTGTTATGAACGAAAGCTTCGTTTCACGTACAAGTCGCTATTTTCCGAAATTTGATTTTCCTGATTTTTACAACAATCGTTATATTGATATATCGCCTAAAGTTATCTTGATTCAAGCCAAATGCAAATGACATTCGACAAACGGGAATTTACTGCTTTTAACAACGATAGTTTATCGCTCTTATAACGATCTTGGAGTAATCAATGAATGCTGATTTCACGATCACTGACATATATTAAACTTTATCCGGATTTCGAAATTTATCTTACTGTTAAGTTCTAGTGCGTTAAGTTCGAGTGTCAACTTCGCATAAAAATTTCATTAAAACCATATAATGATACCTATATATTAGGTAAAACTTTATACACCTTTTGAGTTAATTTGAAACATAAAAAACTTTCTTTTAACTTCTATCTATAAATGAATAATCGCTATACGTTTTATAATTTATTGACAAAACGTATACTATTATTATTTTAGGGTTTTTCGGTTTTCAAACACGTTCAGCAAATCATACATTTGTACGCAAAATAACGTTATTATGCATCAAAGGGGGGGAAATATTCAAGAAGCTGACAGTCTTTGAAACTGTTTACGCAGTTTCATTTCATTTCAAATACGTGCTGCAAATCATTTAGATTGCAAAGTAAGATAATATTTTTCAATATGCGTAATCAGCTGGGTATATTGTGTGTATAGCAAGCTTACTGGATTTGCGGACATCTCGATTGCTCCCCACGATTCAATCAAAATCGGTACGTCTGTAGCTTACTTTCTCTTGCCAATTGTCTGGCCGAATCGCAAAAATAATGCCTATACTTTACACACCTATTCTTTTAAGGAGGATGCACACACGCACTAAACTACCATTGCTTCTATTTTCTCACGTAGCTACTTCATACACATATGCTAGTTATCTATTGCGCGCACGTAAGCTCACGATTTCACCTCTGATGTAAGTAACTTGTGCGAAATAACGTAAAAGTAGGTAAATTAAATAATGCACGAACCTAATTTTACTATACAAAGAGATTAATGCAGGATTTGAGCTATATAGTACGCCATTGTCGAAACTTTCATCTCATCTTGGTCCTCCAGTGTCCGTTCTGCATGCTTCCGCTCTATCTGTCTAATAGAATATTTTATAACCCTACCTTCAGAAAACTCGATCTTGAAAGCTTCGGATGAGTAGCAGGTACCTGTCTTCTGTAGATCATTTTAGTTTGATTGAAGTCTACGGGAATTGATAAGGAACCCGCTGAATTAGTGAATTTTCCAAAGAAAAGAGTAACTGGATTAGACAGTTCTATTATTATTTTTATAAATGAAAAACTTTCATAGATTATTAATATACTTATTTAAATCAATTTATAATTAATTATTTATGAAATACTAAATAGCTAATAAATGAATAAAGTCAATAAAACCATTAATAGTCGGCAGGTAAGAAATATTAAGTTTTTAGTCATTTAATTTTTTAATTCCTTAAATCTGATAAATAGTTATGCAGGAATAGTATGTACAAATATAATAGTAAAAGATATTAAGTTTCCGTCAACTACATTTATAATTTTATTAAATATGAACTTGCACATGAATATGCCATTCAAATTATACATCAACAGTATTTAAATAATATAAAAATTAATTATTATCAATGTAATTTAAACATGTATTAGATATTCCATCAAATTTTTTTAAATAAAAGTTACGTCAATAACATTAGTTAATGTGAATTTCAAATATTTAAATCTGAAATTAAATGAAAATGTATGCAATTTAAATAGATAATGCATGAGACTACCCAAAAAAGATTGAAGGGATAGCATATTTATGGAATCGTGTGTAAAATAAATTATAAGTTAACTTTTTTCGTCACGGTTCTCCTCGAAATTTGCATGACTTGCATACAAGAATTCAGAAATGTTGTAAACCGTTTATTACATAATAAAATCATGTAATTAAGAAAATTCATTAATATCAAGTGTACTTAATGACAAATCTTTTCGTTTCGTATCTAAAATATTTAAATTATATAAGTATCATTGTATTTCATATTACTATACAACGAGTGATTATACTCGATAAATATTAGCTAAGGTATGGGTATGATAATGAGAATAAGCATTTTAATATATTTTTTATTTCTATTAATTAATATATATATATATATATATATATATATATAAATAGCTCAATCAATCTATCAAATGAATATAATATTTATCTATATAATTCGATATAATATATGCTCCATCTATCCATATATATCGAATTTGGAAGAAGGGTGAATACCCTTTACGATACTATGTTTATTTTAAGCAACAATAATAAAATAATCATCTTCGTATGATGATTGAAAAACAAAAAGATAATATTTTTAAATATCAGTCATACAATATAAATCGATGTTATTTTTCATTCTCAATTTTTTTGCATACTTCCACATATAATTCGCACTGTTTTAGAAAACTGTAAAATTTATAATTTAATTAGCTTATTGATTTCTGTTTTGTATTATAAAAATGAAAGAAGATTAATTTTTTTTATTCACTTATACATTCTCTGTAATGTTAATTTATCTGATAAATTGCAGAATGAAAATTGCAGAAAACTGTGCGAAACTGAGTAATCGGTATGTAACAATGAAAATACGACCAACGTGATTAGAGAACTAAGAAGTAATCTCATCATTTTCGTCATATCTGAAAAACAACTCACATAGTTTCTGTTATTACACTTCATAAAAAATCTTTCATTTCGCCATAACGAAGGATTTAAAATTAAGGAATTTTTAAAATGTCAATTCTTTATTTATTTCAGAAATCTATATGAAGAAAATTTAAAAATAAATATGTAAACTTTTGTTTTTTTTTTTTTTTTAATTCTTGGAAAAATTAAAACAAATTACATTTATCTAAAAAATTCGATATAATATTAAAGTATAACGATAAAGTTTTCTAAAGTCTTAAATAATATTTTTATATTTGAATTGAATAGAGTGAATATTTTTAAAATGTGAATATTTATCGATAAACCACGAAACAAAATAAAATTTTATTTGTGTTAAGTAACGATAAGTTTGCAATTGACAATACTTAATATAATTCTAATGGTTTCGTATAAAAGTTAATTTATTAGAATTTATAAACTATTTATATGTAATTCTATGAACTCAAATTTGAAAATTATGTAAGTACATTCTAGTATTAAATAGAATGCGTAGAAATTTTATGTAATTTATACAGTATCTCTTGATAAATTGAATTTCAGATATATAAAATTTAAAAAATTTTAATACGAACATTGGTAATTAAACAAATGTTCAAAATATTTATGAAAATCTGTTTCATCGTTTGAAAAATATTAATTGATATTATTGATTTATTAATAATAAATTATCTTCTATATTTTATTCTAATTGTTTAAGAAAAATTGATTTTTATCACCTTATTACCTTATTCACATGCATTATAACAGATATATCTCAACATAATTGGTTTCTTATAAAAATATTTAGAATATTTGTTTTACAGCTGTAAATTATCTACATATCATTAACAATTTCAAAGTAAATTAATTGTATTGGCAGAAATTATCAGCATACTTCTTGCTTTAGATACCATTACTTAGAGTGTTTTTTGCGTATCAGAGTTATCTAATATTTTGTATTTGTCATAATAGGGTAAAAGCGTATGTAACTGAAGTAATCATTGCATAAAATGTCTTTCTTCAAACTATGACTGAAAGTAAAATGCGAATTATACACCCCCTTAACGTATAAAGTTTATCGATAATTTCTGAATACAGAACTTTCTTCAAAAATTTTCAGTTCGAAACTGATTACACTTAAGCACATGGTCAGTCGTGGTGGATTACACAATTGGAATGTTGCTTTAAGGATTAACTGTTATTCTTTATTCGTGGACTTGAGAGATTTTAAGAACTTTCACTAACGTACGTATACAACTGTTCAATCATAAAAATTATTCATAGTTATTTATGCAACCTTCTAATTAATTATAATTTGTTACATATCAATTTCTATTATCATTATACATCTACTACGGTATTAAATTTGAAACTCTTTTTATAAAGGATAATATTTAAATTGTCATGGGTATATAAAAATTTTTATCTTGTACTGCTACATATATAAATATAAGAGTTTTTGTCTCTTATAACTGCCCTACAACTTAGACTATTTATTTTAATTTTTCGTATAAAAAATATATGAAAATATTGTAAAAAAATCTCAAGGTTTTTTAGTATATTCTTTGAAAAATAATTTTTTACTATCCACATACTATAATACACGTATCTAAAGGCCTTTCAATCAAATCACCAACTTATTTGTTTTTTAAAAAAAAATTTGTTTAATTAATTAATGAGAAATTCATTATTGTTTGTGATGATAATAATAAAAAGTTTGTTTAACAATTTTGATTACATTATTTTAATTTAACTTTATTTTAATATTGTTAGTATGATAAGCATGATATTTGATGAGCAAAAAGTGAATATAAAATTATTATCAATATTTCCATATGATGATTACTTAGAATTTATTTAAAATTTGCAAAGTATTTGATTTAATAAAACAGTCGATTGATTTATCTCATATTTTATTTCCTATATTATATACCAATAAGTAACTATGAAGAAATGCAAAATTTACAAATAATTTTTTCTTATTCCTTTAAGTTCTGTAGTGGATGTAATTTTTTTCTAATTGTTATCAAATATTAATATCCTTAGAATGACATTTAATACTTGATTCAATTAATTAGACACAATAGGAACGAAAGTATAAATTATTCATCCTATTTTGTAAAATCAAAACGACAAGCTAAATTTTTTAATCTACGAATGCCAGATGATCAACATACCATACATTAAGACAGCTATGTTTATGTATCCTACGAATATTTAGAGTATTGCTTAAGTATGAATCGATGAAAGCCAACAAGAAAGTCCATTGTAATTCTTGGTTAGTCGCGACCCGACTGTATTTATACACGTGCTCAAATACTCAACGAATTTAGTCAGTTAGTATCCGTCTAGCCTTCAAAGAAATTTCTTCTGTCATATATTGACACTTTATGTGATAATTGCACTGTGTAAAAGTACTATGTTTGATTGAATATATGACAATAATACGACAGTGTGTAGAACGAATGTAACTTGAAGTGCAAAAATTTTCCCAACAGTTCCGTTACTTATTAAATACAAAAATGAAAGTGCTTTTGGTAAGCATAAAAAACATATTCTTTTTTCATTTATAAAGGAAAGCAAACAGACACATAGAATTCGATGTCTGGTTTTACGTTTAGCAGAATATTTTTAATTTACAATTGTTTTAACATACAATAACAATAATATGATAATAATTTTTAAAGAATATTTTCATCGGGTTACTTTTACATATTTACTGACACAAATTAATCAAGTTTTATTCATTAAAAATTATGGATAATAAGTTGTGTAATTTTATATAATTAAGAATACAGAGAGAAAGGTAGTTAAGATATAATATACATGTTGTTTATAAATTTTTAGTAAGAGTCAAGAAATAATGACGATTTAATATAGGTAAAAAGTATTGAAAAGAAAGAAGAATAGAGAAGAAGAGTATAAGGGTATAAAGGTTAAAGAAATATAAAATCATATAACGATTAAGAGATAATACTAAAGATTTTAATTAATTGATTGTGAAAAATTTAGATAAATATGCATTAAAAAAAGCATAATAAATTTTTTAATTGACATTTTGGTAATTATATAATTTCATGTTTTTATAGCTCCGACAATTTAATATAAAAATATGAATTTGTATTAATATATTTTAATAAGAAAATTATTTAAACAGCTGTAATTTTAAATTGACAATATTGTCAATTTTTATTATGAATATAGTAAAATTAATTTAGCTATTCAATTATTAATTAAAATCAATTTGATACAATTAAATATTAATTCTTTTTAGAAGTACCAAAAACATTTAATAGGCATGACAAAATATACTTTAATTTAGATTAGCGTAGCATGTAAATAGCATGTAAATAAATCAAATAATTCATTATTAAAATTAGTAAAAATTATGAACTTTAATTAGTTTATTAGTAGATTCAGATTCTAATAGATAACTGTATTAGCATTATATTTACTAATAATTCACAATCGGAAAATTACTTTTTTCTTATAATTAAATAATCATTATATTGATGATAGATTTTTTTTTATTAAAAATAATAAATGCAATGTAAATAGAATGCAATCGAACGCAAATATAGTGAAATAAAATTCACCTGTAGATTTAATAATAAATTTATATTATTTATCAATGAGACTATGCTAATTTTAAAACAAATACATTCATTGTTTTTCAGTACAATATGATCCAGCTGATATTATAAAACTTTAATTCAATAGGTGGCGTACTTTCTAATCGCAGTAGTTTGGATTGCATTGGCGGCTCAGCAAATCGACTCAAATGCATCGGACACTAAACGGTTGGAAAATTTGAAATTGATTAGTGGCATTTCGTTAAATACAAAACTACTTGAAGCTCAGAGAAGAAAAGATCCTGTTTATTATTATAATAAGCCGAATCGACTAACTGATGGTAACTACCATGAATTTGGTAAGCACAGATATAGGGGAAAAATCGGTGCCACATTACAAAATCAAGTAATTCGCCCGTTTAAACAATATGGGCCTCCGAATCAAGAAAATATATATTATCATCGTCAGAATAATCAACAGACATCGACAAGCAATAATTTGAAAGATGATATACTAAATTCAAAGAAAAATATTAATTTAATGGAAGAGAGTCCTATAGCTAGTCAGAATAATCAGCCATTCGGTCAGAACACTGCGAATTACTTGCCACCAAAGAATCAGGAACTTCCAGGATACTCTTCATCTCAACTTTTCTCTAATCAGAACTATGACTTTCCAAATCATTATCCATATGAGCAGCAACATCAGCAAAATGGTAATGATCAACAGCAATATGATCAACAACGCCAACAACATTACGATCAACAGCGACAACAGCAATATGATGAACAGCGACAACAGCAGTATGACGAGCAACGACAACAGCAATATGATCAGCAACAACAACAACATCAACAACAAGATTATGATCAACAGCAGCAGCATCAGCACCAGCAGCAACAACAATATGATCAACAACAACAATATGATCAACAACAACAATATGATCAACAACGCCAACAGTATTTATACAATCAGTTGCTAAATAATAAATATAATGTTCTCCAAGAAAATCGTGATGCATCAAATTTAAATTCCGCTCAAACTCTATTAGCAAATCAGCAAATCTCAGATGCAGCTCTTTTCTTAAGTGAAAACGCTCAAGCTATATCGAATCTTTACGGCGCATCGGCGCCAAATGAAAATTATGCTCCTAACAATCAACATTTTCAGCCAGTATATCATAATAATAAACACGATAATCGAAATCAATTAGAAGAATTTCAAAATTCCTTACCTTCATATGCTTCCGGTATTTTGAGCTCTCAAGAGACTCTTGAAAAAGTGCAATCATTGGAAAGGGAACGGATAATTAAAGAACTACAGCAAGCATTATCGAATCAAGATATTTCTCGATTAAAGGCAGCAAATAAGCCATTGAAATTGACTACTGAACATAATGATTCTTTTAGTAATTCTCAACCTTTTTCGCCCTCTTCTTCCGCTAACTCCTTAGAAGAATTTTACGGATTGGCGTCACCCATTTCTACACCTCATGTTCCTATATCTTCTACGTCAACGACAATATTACAGCCTAATTATGGTGGTAGCGTAATAGATAATACTCAAATAGAATCTAGTTTGCCTGTATCGGGTAGTATAAGATCAAGTATTAAGAATTCAGAAATTCCTGAAATCGAACCAAATTTTCTACCGACATCGAATTTTATTCCAAGCGCACCCACTTATCAAGAACCCGTATATCATAGAACATCTTCAAAATTAACTAGTAATTCGCCAACATATTTCGGTATCCCTATACCTACGTACAACAGTTTACGACCATTGGAACCATTAACAAAGATAGTAACAGTCGCCTCTAAACCTTCCAGTACTTCGTATTTCAATACATATCAATCATCGATAGCGCAACCCAATCCGTATTCAATCATTTCTTCTGGAATTCATTCCGCGGCAGTAAATCCGGCTGCTTCTAATTATCACTCTGTTAAGACGTATCCATTTTATTATTCTCATAATACGGCATACCAACAGCTGCATAAACCAATTGGATTAGCAGGATCGGCAAGTGTTTGGAGTTATGCACCATCTTTTGCTTAAACGTGGTAAACGTATAAAAGAAATGAATGTCTCCATTCGTTTTATTTGCTCTTAATTATTACATATAGAAATTACGTTTTACCATAATTGCGTTCTATTGAATAGAAAATACTTTTAATTATTTATATTTTTTAATATTATTGTATATTTTTATATTTCACGTTTGTAATAAATATTATTTATTTTTTTAATAAAATATGATCACTATTTGTTATATTATATTTATTCTTTGTTTATAAAAAAGTTACATATTATTATAAAAAAATGAAAATTTCGTATTCATATTTCGTACAATATAGTTAATAATATACTGATAGATTAAAATGAATATAATCATTTATATTCATTATTTTTCTATGATGTTGATATACCTACAAAAGAATTTTATCGAATATTTTAAAGAAACACTCTCCGATATGTAACATAAAAAGGTTTGCTAATGAACACGCACAATACACTTAACATATAATGACTTTCTCAAGGAGAAAGCGTCGAATCATATAGTTGGAAATTTTTTTTTCGAAATTTTAAAGGTAAGGATTAATTTTAAATATTTAAGTAAGTAATAATATCTAAAAATAAATATTTTATTTACAATTGTAAAATTGAAATTTTTAATTTTATTTTATAAATTATATAATATACTATAAAGTACGTTTAAAAAAGATTTGTATACAAATATTTATATATAATATATTTTTATAAAATATATTAATATAAATAATAAGATATATTAATTTTTTTATTTTCAAATTTATAATTGACACCAAAAGATATCTTAATTTATGAGAATTTTTTAACTATAAATAAAATAAAATTTTTTTATAACTGTTAAGGATGTATTATATTTTATATTAATAATCGATTTTTAAAGAATTTTGTTATTTTAACAACTACATATTTATCTGTATATGTAAAAGTATCGGTAAATTCAAAACTGTAAAATAATTACTTTGTAAATGAAATTTTGATACATATTTGATACAAATGAATTTTAGAATATAAATCCTTAAAAATAATTCTATTATAAATAGAATGCAATCTTTAAATATTATGATTATATATATATATATATATATATATATATATATATATATATATATATATCATTGTATGTAAAATAGTGAAATTAATATAGTAATAGTATAGTGAGATAGTAGATAACAGGGTAATATGTGATATTTCTTATGATTGATAAAGTTAGATGGATATTTCATTTTATTAATATTATGAAAATTGTACAAATATAATTTGTAAAACATTATTTTATATTTTATGAATTATGTATGATTATAAAAAGTATCATTTTCTACTTAATACTAGTCGATCTAAAAACATAAAATTTTTAATTAAATAGGAACTTATTAATTAAGAATTTTTTTACGATTATTTTTTTAAAAAAGCATCAAAATTTTCAACACGTGCATTAATAAAAATTATATGTTGTTAACGTAACTTTCATATAATTTTTAATATATGCTTAACATTTTTTTTCTTATTTTTAATTATAATGTTAATTATTGAGGAGCTACAAACAGATCTATAAATTGATTTTTAATTTTATCAATAAAAGTAATTAATAATCATTTATAAATAAAAAATTCACATATTTGGTGTGATATATTTTCAATTTTACAAAAATAATAATTAAATATGTACTGATATTGAGTATAATTATGACAGATGTTTACAATTTTTAATAGTTTTACTATTTGGTATATTCTAGTAGTACATTTGGTATAATATTGCTTTATGGTCGTAGACATAATATTCAATAATATCCAATAATTCTTCTGATAAAATTATATTAATAACATGCTATTAATAATATCTAATAATACTAATAGTCATTTTTTTTCATGAATGCATGTTTATACAAAAATAAAATATCTTTATGACTTTTCATAATACATATTACTCATGTTTTTGCAACAATTAATATCTTTGATAATGGACAAATAGATTAATAATATTGATGTTATATAATTTACTATACCGGAACGTGCACATAATGCTTGATCATGTTAAATTGAAGCAGATGGTTATTCATATTCATAAAAATGTATGAAAATCTTATAGATTGAAAGGATTGTGAAAATTGTAGGTATATTGTAAACTCTGACTCATATAAGAAATCCAAATGTACTTCCGGTAAATTAACCACAAATTAACCTTGAATTTAAGACAACTCTCGATCCTGACCTCGATAGATGTTTGACGATTCCATACACGATTATGCAGCCGAGCTTGACCCGACTAATCTCGAGCATACATAATATATACATTCACGTATTATCTTTGAAATCTGTTCCGATATGCACTGCATATAGTAGGAGGCACATTAATTTTCAAACGCAAAACAATTAGAATAACTATTATGAGTTTCTTCTACATAAATAACTAGAATAAGCGGATGATTTTTTTTATTTATTTTTTTTTTTTTTGCCAAATTGCTTATAAAAATTATAGCCTATATGTTGTATTTATTATATGTTGTATAAAGGATTTTATGTACTATATGGTTATTTATTATTAGTTAGTTAAATTTATCAATAATTAGATAGTTTCAATAAATGATTTATCCAATAGAACTTTGTATCAGTCAAAGGCTTCTCTTTGTTGACGTGTGCATTTTCAAGATAAATAGCAACATTCTGAAAGCAGACGCAACCGAAGTATTATAAGAAATTCAATGCTTGTGCCACTAACTCATACCTTCATTGTAGTAATTGAAAAATGAAAAATAAAAAATATAAAAGTATAAAATATAAAATATTCAATATAAAAATATTAAAAAAACTTATTAAAAAATATATTTAAAAATGAATTTGATTATTATTTTAGAAGGTTAGAGCGATTTCGTATCATATATAATATCATAAATTTTTAAAATTTACAATATGTAATTAATAATGTTCTGTTATAAATGCAACAGAATTTAAATTAACATAAGCATACAATGAAAGTATTTTTATATTAATAAAACATTAGATAATATCTATTTTTATGTAAATATAATTATGTGCAAATTAATTTATTTATACATAATTAATTTACTCCTAATTATCCAATTTAAATACTTTTTGTAATGATTATGAGTTATACCACTTCATTTCTATTTCTAAAATATTGCTTGCATAAACGTGTGAGATTTGGATTATTACAATCGCTGTGAAAAAATAATATAACAGTTCATAAGCTCTTATCAAATATTTAATTTCTTTTACGTTTTTGCATTATGATTATAAAGTTATGAGAAAAATGCAAATCTATTTTTAAATTGGCCAATAAAATTATTTGGAATTGAGAATTAACTTATTCATGATAAACTTAAATTAAATATTAAGTTAAAAACGAGTGATCATTTTTTTTTTTAATATCATGTTGAATTTTAACAAACAATTATTTATATCGTTATTAGACTTATATTATAAATCACATTTCGGATCAAATAAATATAATAGGATTTTTAAATATCGAATTTTTTTATTAAAGGTCTTATAGAAGCATGATTTAATTAATTTATATCAGATAAATATTAAATCCAAAATGTTTTTGTATATATTAAAAGCTTGAAAAACTTAATTATTAATTATTAATTATTAATTACCTAAAGTACGTTAAATAAGGTGTTATATATAAACATGTTACGGATTATTTAAAATATGTTAAAATATTTAAAATACTTACAAACTTATAGTTTGTAAATTATTTCTTTACATAATTTTTAATACATAATTATTCGTTTATATTATCTCTGTATATTATGTATAATATACAGATGTATGTAATATAATAGTATATATATATATATACATGCATATAATCATAATTATTTTCATTATATATTATAATCATACTTATTAATGTTTAAATAGACATATTTATATTTTTGATGATGTTTATAGAGATGTTTATATTAGACTATAATTTCTTTTTTTAATTGCATTATTATGTAAAAAGGTAATATCGATATTACATAATCATATTAATATTTAAACGTTGCAGCGTTTGGGAGGTTGATTAAATTAATTATTAAATAACTTACATACTTTTTTAACTCAAATTGAAATCATATTGAGCATAGAGAGATAATTGAAAACTTTCAACACAAACATCCATAATAAATATATACTGTAGTAATGTAGCGAATGACTACCACAGTGATTTTAAAGACTGCGTAAATATATTTAAGGATTTAGTAATTATTGTTATGTGTTGGTGTCTACTTTTATTCCAATATTAAGCATCTTTTTATTAATGTGCGTTGTATTCGTCTAAAATCGTATTTATCCAGTCACGCTTCTTTACTTTTACTACTAGTAAAGTTACACTAGATCTGGCCAGTCAAGATTCCTATCTATTCCGATCCTTATAGGATATAATCGTGAAATCTGTTGATGCACGCTGAAGAAGTTGCTCTGCTGTCCTTTATAAGTCAATGTAGCAAGAAAAACCAAGTGGAATTGTCATTTCTGCAGTGTTAGAATTGTCCATGTCATGTTTTGGCTAAACAAAATTTCATTTATTTTGTAAATAAAAATGCTTTGAATTCCAATTTATCAATGATGTATATTTTTTTATATAATTGGAAAATATAAAGACTAAAGATTAAATAAATAATAAGACTAGTCAAAAAATTCTTTGCTTCATAAATTGTATAATTATTCGTTTGAAGAAAAAAAAAATTTTTCTTTCAAGCGCGTATAAACATCTTATAAATAGAATGCAGCAATGTCAATAAATATATGACATTTATAATGTTAATTTTAGAATAATAGAAGATTTGCGAAATTTAATATATGATGGTGATTTATATTTCGTATTGGTAGTAAATCATTATAAATCTGTTTGATATAATTGTTCTCAAGTTACGAGGGTTTGTATTTAAATATTTCGTATTTTCTTCTGACAAAAAGTTAAATAAAATTGCTTTAGCATAGCATTTTTAATTTGAAATTAAATATTAAATTAATAATGTACCTGTCCAAATTATTTTTGTTTGAATTTTTTATCCAAAAAATTTGAATTCGTATTGTTTATTATATTTTTTCGTTCCTAATACTTTTATTTTTAACATAAATTCCCTAACGGATACTTAGTTCATATTTTTTCATAGAACAAAGAATGATTTTATTTCTATCATATTTATATTTATATTGTATTTTATAAAAATAATTACAATTTTAGTAAATTTATAATTACAGCCTTACAAAGAATCATTTATCAAGTAAATTAATATTTATTAATTTCGATACTGCAGATTTATGGAAATTTTTTTTTTTTTAAATTTGTTTTAAAATTAAAATTTGTATTTGAATGTGCGTATTATTAATTGATTAATAATATTAATATTATTAAAGCTACACGAATCATATAATTAGATGCTATAGTTATATCATATATAAATGATCATACAAAAGACAAATGGTAATTTTTAATTAATTGATTTTAAGTAATATTTAATCATAATTCATCTTCTTATCTGAACAATCCGTAAATTTTTTTTTAATTTCTTATCTTTTTATGTGTTAATAAACATTAATCATTGATAAGTAATATATTACGTGTTTCATAATATGAAAATCGTTGCATATCGCATAATATAATTAAAATTCTGTCTAAACTAAATCTTATTTGAAAGTGAATTCGTGAAGCTAATTATGACATCAGCTTCAATTTACCCGATAACAAGATTTCGCATACTATGCACAATACAATAAGTGAAACCATTCTGTTTAAATTATTGCAGGTAAAGAGACTAAGAACCATTATAAATTTATGGAAGTGGTATTCATATTCGGTAATATCCATTGTTGTCAATTCTATCATTTCATCGCCTATTTGCCTGTCGTCTCTTAAGGAACAGACTCAAGTTGTTTGAAAGTATTTTTCAAAGATAAACATTGGAAACAATTGTGTCTTTGTATTTGAATTCTCGAATTAGATCCGTTTTCCCTCACTTGAACCTCGCTATCCAACCATCGCGTAGTTTTCCTCCTACTCAACTTCCGTTGTAGCGGGCCGATAGAATGCATTGCGGCCACAAAAGTAAAGTCGTCCGGCTTGGCGCGACAGTGAATCGTGAACGCCTTCGCCAAGGTACGTGTGGACTCGGTTGCCTTCACCTAGACCTTTCGTTTCTCTAGAGCAAGATCAAGAGGGGATTGCAATATAAAAGGTCTCATCTGGTCAGCAATCGCATCAGATACACTACGACATTTTATCTTATTCAGTGATTTTCAATACCCGGAATAGTAACGCCATATACTTTATTATATCTATTTAGTTGACGTAAATTCATTTGCGAGATGCGGCTGTCAGTAAGTTACTTCTTACTTCCCTCCCTATTCTTGTGATAGTATAGGTACCAGATTTCTCGCACGTCGTCTAATAATTTAGTTCTGTTTGGATTTTTAATAACTTATCATACTATTTTTTATAAACTACATTTTTAAAAGTTCCATAAAATTTTGAAATATTTTAATAATAAAGTATTAATAACTTTAATCGAATTTTTTTTTATAGAATACGAATTTTTTTAACAAAAAACATAATAATATTTATTTTTTGCATTACTGTTTATATAAATTTTTAGTTTATATAAATTAACTGTAATTTTAAACACATTGTTCGCGCAGCTTTTATTATATCTTATTGTTATCGATTTATATACATATACATACATTTTAAGTATTACTTTTAAAAATAATAATTATCTTCGTAAAATCATAATTAAAATTTATTTAAATAATGTTATGTATTTTAGTACACTTCTAACTTTTTATAGATTCTTGTTGGACTTGTAACAACTTTTTCAGTTGTCTCTTGTAAAGATCATTCATCTCATCCAGATAACACATCTCAAGGAAGATATAAGGATAGAAAGAATAAACGTGGTATTGGTGATTATTCAGGTGTACCGTATGGTGGGCACTCTTATCAAGGATTTCAAACATCTCCTTCTTCAGGTATTTCATTCACTCAGGGATTTCCAAGTTTTCCGGGATATGCTCCTTTCGGGAGTTATGGAAATATTAACCCGTTAAGCCATAGTCCGCTTAACCTATCGCCACAAACTTCACCTGGATTTTCGACTATAGGAGCCCATAATATAGGACAATCCTTGAACCTTGGTCAAAACTCTGGTTATAATTTCCAATCACCTGGTTTGAATTTTGCTAATTTATTAGGCAGTTCTATAAGCAGTCAGAACCCATACTTATCTCCTAATATGGGTGTATATTCACATATGGAAAAGACTGGACCAATCACCTTCAATTCTCAGGGAACAGTGGCTACACAAGCACAACAACAATATACACCAATATATCCAACTGGATCTCAAGTAGGATCTAGCAGTTATAGTATACCCGTGGTTCTGGGTTCGTCGCAAGTATCCAATCTACAAGGATATCGAACATCTCCTTCAACTTTAAGTAGCTTAAGCTCTCAAGGACTCTCAATTGGTTCATCACCTGTCAATAATGGAGGGTCATATAGTGCTTCTTATGCACCATTAACAGGAGACTCTTCTTCCCATATTGTTACAGGCGGTTATTCTATGGCTGCGTCCACCCCTCATCAAAATACGTTATTATCAAGCTATAGCATACCGATTTCTACATTGACACCTGCGCCATCCTCGTCGGAATATACAATGACAATTTCAGCTTCTCCTTATAATTCAGCATTCAATAATCCCGCTTACAGTAACTCATTGTCAGCTTCAAGTTATCAATTACCATTAGCAGCCGCAGCTTACGCAAATACTCCTTCAAGTTCATCAGGTGACTATACAAAATACACCTCCGCTTCCTCCGACGATAGTATATACACAACCAGTAACCAAATGCGACTTGGAGCAGCTATAAAATTAGAAAGCCTTTCAAGCCCCGGCATGCCTTCATCAAGTACTAATTCTGGATATTCAAATTCTGGAAATACAAATTACGCAGTATCTCCGAATTATTCGAGTAATACATTAAGGTCAATTCCATCAAAACAATCGAGTTATTTGTTAACAAGTTATGGCACACCAGCAATGTCTTATTCTATTCCATCCACGAGTTATGGTATTCCAAGCCATAGTCAATCTCTTACTACTACTAATTATAATACAAAAAATTCGAATCAAGCATATCCTAGCATTAGCTTCACATCCTCTAATGGTCCTAACTATTCGAATTCTGAAAATACACATACTATGCCGAGTCAAAGTTCGTCTTATCAAACCGAGTCTCCTTATAAAACTGCTGCTCGCGCCATACTTTCTGTAAGTTCTTCTAGGCCAAGTACTAGTTACGAATCATCAACGAGTAGCTCCTCAAATGACGCAAATTCTATCTTGAACTATAAGAGTTCATCCTCCAGACCAACTTCTAGTTTGTCGAATTCAATTGAAAATTATTCATTACAATCGACATCGAATTCGTATGATAGTGGCACCGATTCTAGTAGTTCATATTCCATTCCGTCCACTCGTTATCACCGATATCCACCAAATAGATCGATGCCTTATATCGACAGTGGAGAAGCAACAGGTTACGATACAATTTCATATTCCGTGCCTAATGCAAAGTACTAAATAGAGATTAGTCTGTACTTCTGTGTCAGTAAGCAATTTGTACCTAATTCAATAAAGATTACATAAGTTTTGTAATTTTTATACGCATATATATGTGTGTGCGCGCGCGCGCGCGCGTGTGTGTGTGTGTGTGCGTGCGTGCGTGCGTGCGTGCGTGCGTGTGTGTGGTATTAATGAATAACAAAAATTTTATTCTGATAGTATTTTCATTATTTTAGATGAGACAAGAAATAAATAATATATCTTTGTTATATCTATCAGTCATGAGAACGAACGCGCTAATACGTTATTCATTTTATGTTTCTTGTTTGCCATTTCGTTTATACTTTTATATACTTGCGAAATATCTATTGTATAGAAATATTACCGAGGCTAAAACGTTTTCTACACATTAATAGTGTGCTTGAGCGTTATATGTATAACAATGTTTAGAATATCTGTATTTATATATTGCGATGAATTATAATAATGAACTTTTTATACTGTGCAATAATTGTTAGTCATGCACGAATTGTTATAATTAGTTATTGTTAATTTTTAATAAACATTGCATATACAAACATATATTGTCAGTGAATTATTTATTATTATATTTTTAAAACTAATAACATTATATATATATATAATCCCATATATATATATATATATATATTATACATTGATTAACAGAAAATTTATTATTATTGATCAGTTTTGATAAAAACGAAAAATAAAAATAATTTTTCAATCTATTTAATAATTTCATTTATAAATAATTATTAAAATAGGCATTACCAATAGTTTGTGAAATATCTGTGAAATAAAATTATATATTTTTCTAAATCCTTGCAAAACAAAGTAATCACGTTTTAATATTAAGAATACTGCATTAAAATTTCTTTTATTTATTTATTTTTTTATCGAGAATAATATAAATATATTTAAATTTCTGTTACTTTATGTTTAGTTTAGTAGTAAACGCTATAATCCATTATTTGAGTTGAGAAAGTATAATAATTACGCGAGAATTTTATGAATATAAAATAGACATTTATGATGTGCTAGAAGGAGATGACTTTTACTTCAAGAGTCAATAAGTCGATGACCGGATAAGAACTTCTCCTTTCTAAATATTTACTTTTATTTAGGAAAATACATCAATAGATCTAAGAAACTACATGTGGCCAGTTTTACTGATACATATATCTGACCTTCTCTAATGGCATCTTTCTTTCACATATTTTTATACTCTTGTTAAACCTGTTCAAATTAATGATCTTGAATTTAGAAGAGGCGCTTTTATGAACATAGTCTGATAAGTGAAAAGGAGTTAGTCGAGCTTCTTATTTATTACAACAAGGATGTTTGTAATATGACTTCTTTCATTGCTATCAGATTCAAATTAAATATAAATATATTATCAGTCTATTTATTGTACATACGTATATAAAGTTTATGTATTTTCAAACCAATTTCATAAAAAAGAAAATTAAGTAATTTAGTTCATAATATCGCCATGGTGTTATAAAAACTACGACAAGATCAAAAAGTTGTTATTACTATTTAAAGGATCAATATAATCACAGGAAATGTGATTTATGTAAACATTATTAATTATTGTATATATATATATATATATATATATATATATATATATATATAAATATATATGATAAAAACATAAACGATTTATAGTAATTCAAAATAATTTATATTTGTAAATATATCTATTAAATAATATTATTGATTCTTATCAAACGTCAACACATACACACGCAACAAAACACATTTTATTTTTTTTTATTTTCATTTTATTTATTTTTGTTTTATTACAACTCTCTAATTATATATATATATATATATATATATATATATATATATATATAAAGGTGTAAAGATTATAATTAAACGGAAAAAGTTGTGATGATTATAATTAGGAATAAAGTGTATAAAGTTTAATATTAAAGAAATTCGAATTTAAATGAAATTATTATTTATAAATTTACATTATTATTATATATTATGTTCGTTTTATCATTGAATTTCAAAATTTGAAACTATTAGACTCTGTAATGGTTTTGAAAATCAAAAAATAATTTATGTTAATTATTCTGGTGTCTAAATAATATAAAAGTGCAAATATATCATATGTATATAAATATTAATTTATAAAACAATATTTTATCAAAAAATACTAGCATTTTATAAGTTATAAATAATGCGCTTTATTTATATTTAAAATATTTATCTAATGTCTAAATATAAACTGCATATTACTTTATCTAGTAATTAAAATATAGATGCATTATTTTGTAAAATTGTATTAAATAGAATTTAATATTTTCATATGAAAATTTGATTAACAAAATTTTATTTTCATTAGGTTTAGATAGAATTTAGTTCTATAATTATGTTTAGATATTAATTCTGTTCATATAAAATTTAGTTGTATAATTATGAATCAATTGAGATAATACAATAAAAAAATTTGAATTAGGATTTGTGCTTGAAATCTAGTGATCATAGTTTTGTGAAAAAATGAATTCATGTTTGATTATTTAACGTATGAAATTTTGAAAGTGTCATTCATTAGTTGCTTACAATGCATTATCAATTTCTATATTGATAATTTATTTATTATATATATATATATATATATATATATATATATATATATATGTTTTGTTTTTGTTTTTGTTTTTTGTTTTTTGTTTTAATAAATAATTTAAACTGTACAATAATAAGAATATATTATAAAATAATTATTTAAATACGTACTATTTATGTATCAATAATGTGTTATGAATCATAAAATACAGAATCCATGCAATAAATTTTTTTCAGTTAATTTTTTAAATAACTTTTCAAATTGCAATAAAACACGATCTATTAGTATAATCATGTTATATTATAATAAAAAGTTGCTTCAAAATAATATTTTTATCTTTGATAATTTCTTTTTTCATTATTCACTAAACCAATGTATAGTAAAGTTAAAAAAAAATGAATATGTATCTATTTATTTGAATGTTATTTCAAATTATATAAAAATTTTTTTAAATAATTTAAAGTAATTAAAATTTGAAATAAATCCAAACAATTTCAGATATAAGAAACTTATATATATATAAGTAGAATAGCTCTATTGTTTCCAATTTAAACAATTATATATATTTAATTATTTTTTAGTAAGTATAAAATCGTAAAGTATCTTATTAAATAATCAAAAAATATACACGAAGAACTTATAATTTATTTGAGAGGTGTAAGTCGATTGAAAAATATTTGAAATTTTATATTAATTTTTTACAAAATTGAATATGAGAAACTCAATACATTAAATGAAATATTGAGTAAAAAATGCTTTGTTAGAAAAGAAAGAGTATATACTTGGAAAATTATTCTACATCAACGCTATATTGTGTCGATGTTATTGGCTACTTTCTCAATTAATTGTAGAGCTTAAATGTCTATTCAATTAATTGTACAGATCTTCATGTACTTCGCAGGTACACTTTTTCAATTATTTTGTACGAAATAATAAATTTATTATTTTCAATAAATGTAAGCATTATGATTTAAATTTTGTAATTCATCGATGATAGGTCTATAATTATAATATAATATATATTGTTTTTTCTTTTAATGACTTTCGTGTCATTCGCTTCCTCTCATTAAATAAGAATTCACTTTTACATAGAGATAGATGATATCTTTATTTTACTATAGTTGTTTTATAGTAATTTGTTCAATTTCATGATTTAATTCAATTATACAGTGAATTATTATATACAGATAAAAGATATAAAAAAACTAATGAAAATGGCACTTACAATTGTATGAAAAACAAAAGAGTTGTCATTTATTTATACTTGATAAATGTATTTGTATTGCATCATTAAGTATATTAAATACATTAGAGTAAAGTCGTAGATAACATTTAACATTTTATTTGAAGAAGCATTGTCAATGAATGAACAATCACATAATTTTTTCTACTATGTATTAATAATAAATAAATATTTTAAATAAAAAATTGAATAACTCACAAGTAGAAAGTTAGTTATACTTATGTGCGTAACATAAATTAATGTGATAGTAAATTATGTAACTTGATTTGAAATATGTGTTTGGAGGATATGGTATTATAACTGACTTATATTCTTTTCTTTCATAAATAATCTTTTAATGCATACATTAAAAAGATTGTTACCGAATTACACTTCCTGTAAAAATATTTCTATAGCGTATTATAGAAACTTTCAGATAATTTTAAGAAAAGAAAATTAGATAATGAATTTAAAATACATAAAGTATGTTAATGTTGTTTAAATTAATGCTTTTTTCGTTAACTTTCTCTCAAAAAATACAAAATATAAAACGTAAAAAATCGTACAATGTTATTGGAATCTTTTTTTCATAATTTAATGATTATTTAAATTATAAATAATTATATTATTATCAATGAAAACCGTATGTTTCATATATTTTATAATTTATTATTGTTTGTAAATCGTCATTGAGTCGATATATTATTTTCTATTAAATTAATGGTTTGTGAAAAAATATATCAGATTTTGGATAGTATTTATTAAAATGGCATTCTCATAATTAAGATAAATTTCTTTAATATGCCACCTTTCCCTAGTTTTATGGCGATCTTCATTTTCGTAAAAATATATTCGTATCCATCAACTTTGAGTGGTTGCCGGGTGGAGTAGGAAGTGCAGGAGGAGAAAGTGATGGAACAATAGAATATCCTTTTTAATCTATCTTTAGAAAACAATGTATAATTCAATAAAATAATATTATATTAATACAATATTCTAAATAAATTTTTATATCCTCAATTGTCGTCAAGCTTTTACCTAATCGGATTTAATTTCTTATATAATTTTTAATTTCAAATAGTTGCTAAATATTTAATACATTCAAATATTGCATTATATTTTCAATAAGATTTTAAAATTAAAAAAGTCACATTGATACATACATAATTACGATTCTAACTGTTATATTCAGAATACTTCGAATTTCTGTAAAGGTTAT